TTTTTGGAAAAATTTTACTATGAAAATTTTGTCAGCTGTAAATCCATGCAACTCTCAATTGATCAACAGAATTCAGTGATCATCACTAAAGAGTGAAATAAAAAATACCACGTTGATGACTACATCACAATAACCAATTGTAAATATTTCAATCAATTGTAGCTCTTTATAGCTTGACGGTAACATTTCTGATTGTGACAATAGGTGACTCAGGTTTGAGTTTATAGAAGGTATTAAATCATTCAATATTCTAGATAAGCCTTCCTAATAAATCAGTTCATCAACAACGTAGAACTTTGTACGTATGTACATCAGTTCGAGTTGCCACACCACATTAGCACACAGATACAATTGTCAATTCAAACCCCATAGTGGTAGAGGTAGTAAAAGTATAAGCAGTAATCGGGAAGATTAGGGTTTGAAAATGTTATTCAAAGAGTATAATCCAGTGAAACAAATTTGGAAAGAGGAAAAAAAGGACATGAAGAATTCAGAAGATCAGAATTTGGGAGAACACATATAGTGGATGCACCTGCGCCATTGCAAACGATTTTGAGTCATGTCATTGCTGACAAGAGATGACTAGCAAAGAAAACTAAGTTTGGAGCTTCTTATACGATTGCCTTCTTTATTTATTTGTTTATTTGAACACATAAATATTTGTACAAAGGGGCACCGAATACGTATGCGCCAGATGAGTCACTTGATTTGTGTGTGAGTTGTGATACTGCCCAGGTACCCAGACCGAAGCAGGTGGTTTTCTTAGAGGGCCACATCCGGAGCCTTCAACCTAAAGGTCAGATCCACAAGGCAGTGGATCAACGTCAGGAGATTCAGTCCTTCAACTGACTAAAATGCAAATCCGATTTAATATGCGAAAAGTTGGAAGAGATTCAGATATGGGATGGTTTGGTACCATCTTTTAACACTTATATGTATAGGATGAAAGTTGATGTGTTTTATACTCATATTTATATGCCCAGAAAAATGTCTGTTACCATTAATGCTGTAAAGATGATAAATAAGACCATGATTATGAAAATTAGTAATAAGACATATGCCAATGAATATAAAAGTCACACTGTTGGAATCATAGGGGGTCGGAGGTAGTCGACACGACACCCTGGTTGACCTAGGTTTCGCACTAGTTAGCACTCGTCAGCAGGACCTAGTTGTAATCTTGATGGAACCGATGCACCCTGTAGGGTTCGAACTCGCACCATCCAGCTCCACAGCCTGAGACGATTCTGTAAACTAATTGCAATCACCTAGTATCTCGACGTTGTGGATGCGATGTCGAATCACTTAGACCAGTGGCCACATCGCAACTTGATCAATAGAATTTGATCAGCACCTAAAAGATTAGACACACATGACATTGGTCACTACTACTCAGTGACCATACTATACGATAGATCGAAAAACTAGTCTGCTGTCATGGATTGGATTAGTTAGACAGGAATTCGGACCTACAACTCAACAGATAAAGATTAAAAGCTTGAAATATTACTCAGTCACAACCATCACTTTTAACATTACAACAGAAACTTCCAAGTTTACACCAGACCAAAATCTGCACAAAACACAGATCTGTAAATTAATCAATTAACAAGCTGAACATTTACTACTTTACAATATTACTTTTTTGTTGAACACACTGTATATGTAGAAAATTTCAAAACATTCTGTTTATATTCGACAAATGTGAAAATCATATCGAAATTAATTTGAATACAAAAAGTGGTTAAAGTCAACTCTCAGGATTCAAACAAACACTTCTATACGAAATGAAATTTATCTATATAACAAACAAAATACTAATCACAGTAAAAGACGTCACTCAAGAATCACAGAATTTAATATATATTAAAGAGTTAACCATTGCACCGTTCATTATGAAGTAGCTAAGCTAATGACAGGTATAGACAATTTGACTACGAAAAAAATTGAATCGACATCTTCATTCCTTACATATATGTATATGTATATGTATATTTAGTACATTAGAAAAAATCGTATGTATCTTGATCTATCGATTATTATATCAATTGTGTTCAATTAAACAGTATTTGTCTTCAATGTCCAACAAAAATGGTAGCCTACATACGCTTGCAAATATGTGAATAGGCACAAGGCTGTGCATGTGTACCCATTCAAATATACATAATATTTGTTAGTTGGCTAGTTAACTAGATATAACAACACTAACACAATAAGGAGAAATTCCATGATATTTCATTAACTATAGTCGTCATCATTCGTGCTATTCATTTTATGTAGATACACAATATGTATAAGGACATGTTTTTTCAACATTTAATGGCAGAAATAAAAACAAAGACAACAATAATAATAGCAATTAAAAATCTGTCAAAAGATCATCGACTTGTGATTGGCGGTGATGGATATCACGGAACAAGTACTTGAACATGTAAGCCATCTTTTACAATAAGAAAACGAGATATAAGGCAAAGAATCTCCTACACAATCTGTGGAGCAACGGTGATAATAATGAAATTCCATCCAATCACCACTAACCATATTGTTGGTAAACTTGATCCACACAAAGAAAGAATATGCGAGAGATCTATGCGCATATAGACAAATAGTTTCCAATCAAGCATAAAAAAATAGAACTGGATCATTCAAACAAGTTTTTTCATCTATGATGGACAAACTACACATACACATGAATACAGCTGTACAAAGAACAAAATTTACACACATACGTAAAGATGGACATTTAAATAGTTTATGACTACAGCTTGAACCACTGTTAAAATTTGAAATAAACATTGTGTATTAAGAAACTATGACATATATCATGTAAAAAGTGTCCTTTTAGTGGTTAAATCATTTACACCTTCAACTAATAAGTCATGGACCTAAACTCCGCACCCTATCTTATGTGGTTTCAGCAGTCGGGGTAATATCCCCAACACTCTCCCACAAAAGTGTGGCACGAAAATCAGATAAATCAGCTGAAAATTCATGAAAAACTAGTGAACATTGAATAGTCGTTTCGTCTTAGTTTAGAAATCCTCATTGATTCGTATCTTGGACGTGGTACGGGACAAAAACTAACACCCTCAGGCCCCTAAATGCTCTGGTACGGTCGAGGGTAAGGAGAGTTCTCTCACCCTCACAACATGCTATCGCATAGTTACACTTATATAGCCATTGACAGGGAAGTCCTAATCACTACATTTCTGCAATGGAAGTGTTGCTCATAAAATTGAGAGAGCGAAAAGCGAATGTCCAGAGCTTTAACCGGGTTAGTGGATATGGAGGACCCACTCAGGGGAGCTGCGAAACCCTGATTCCAAACCAATGGTGCACATGAGCCCCTGGATCTTGAAGGAACAAATGGCGTATGGCCTATTGCTGGTCACCGGCTACCATTGGATTGCATCTCGTAACGTTGCTGCACTGCCTCGTGGACTAGATCTCTGAATCAAAGGCTCTGAGAGTGATCCCCAAAGAAAACCACCTGCGTCGGTTTGGGCGCCTGTTCAAAATTCTATCCCCCACACAAATCGAATGATGAAATGTGGTGCACATACATTTTGGTGCCGCTTTGTACCAATGCTTGTGTTTAAATAAATATATAATAAATAGAGCTGAACATAGTTTTAGGTACTTGAACCGGAATCTAACACTAAGCATAGATTTCCCCAAAGTTCTGGTGAGAAGCTGTAACTTGTACGGCCAAACGAACAGATACTGAAACAATAACTCACCAACAGCAAATTACGAAGATTCCATAATATCACAAGTTAACTGAGGTGCAAAAAATTAATTATTGGATTCTGATTCAGTGGTCCATTAGTATTGCGCTCGCAGCAGGATTTCGATCCTACTTAGGGTTATGGAATTTGATTACATAGAAGTACTAAATTGAGAATAAAACAACTGTTCAGAGTTTACTGATTCTCTAGATGATCTCAGTTAGTGATGAAAACCAACACCAAATACAATAATTGACGAAAGTCTTTTAATTACCAGTATCTTTTTTCCATTGTTATGTTGGTTAGCGATAAGAACCATCGGTTACTTATTGGTTATTAAAATCTTAGATGTAAATTCAGGCCTAACAAGAACAGCGAAAGATATTTCTAACACATACTTTAAGTAAAAGATAAGATTGAAACTAAACCTCTATTAAAAATTCATGAACTAGTAGTTTTAGAGCAACACATCTGAGAACCAGAATGACTCTGTTTAATGGAGTTAATAAATATGGAGTGAAGTTGGAACTTTAAACATTGTAAGAGCTGTTCGACTTTGTTGGATTTTGGATATGAGTGGTTCTGAATGATCTTATAAGGTTTTCACTCACATTGGCTTTGTTCGGTTTTCTACATGATAGGCTACAAGATAGCTTACTTTAGTTGTTGACCGAATACCTATAAACCACACAGAACCGAACATTCTACAAAACCAATTAACAAATCAGTAAATCACAGGCCCATTAAAGCAATTATAATAAAAACAACTTAAAGCCAGTGACGACTTTGTTAAACAATACTAATCTTTTTAAAAGTGGAACAGTTACAAAATATTTGATGCAAATCAATCATAACCACCGATAACAGTGAAAAGTGGTTGGGAACATAGGATGAAACCGCTCATGATCCGTCACAGCGGCCCAAATGCACTCTTTTAACTCGCCCTAGATTTTGCTATCCGGCGTCTCTTCATACACACCTTTTTCATTTCGTCCTGTCAAACCATATTATCCAATATTTCATCCTTCTCATAATTAATTTTATTAAATTATTTTGACTCCTTTACTATTCAGCTTATCAACCTCACTTTGTGGCAATACAGTTTGACAACTTGGGCTAACGCAGTCACCAGTCATATGCAAAGTAGAACGTTAGTTAACTCACATCTGTTTCAGTCTCTCTATTGATTACGACTGACTGATAGGTCACTTTTACAAAACCAATATAATACATTAAAATGCATGCATATATGTGAGCATACACTCAACTTACCTAATGTTGTTTCAGATAAAGTATTTAAGAGTTCAGCTGTCGATTTTGTGATAAGAACCATTTCGGGTAAATGATTTGATGATTTATCACCATTTTGATGTATCAATGAATTTGATTTTGAATGATTATTATTATTATTGGACAAACCATTCATCATTACTAAATTACTATCATTACTCGTGAATTTTCCCTTATTCGTAGATGACATATGTGCATTGGTTGCTGTTAACTCCTCCATGTTAGACGTCGGATTGTCATCTACATTTGTGCCACCAATTAATACTAAACCATGTTCAACAATTAGTTGATCACGTGCCTCTATTTGATGACGTGCATAATCCAAACGATGTGTTAATTCAACAATTTGCATTTTTTGATAAGCCAATTCCTAAGAGTTAGAAATATGTATGGGTGTGAACGACAGAGAGAAAATCGAATAGATAAATAGTGGAATCATACAAAACTATGAATAATAGGAACCAAGGTGAATACTCATAGCCCGTTAAAGTGAGTAGATCAATGCAAGGACTGATCAATACTCCTAGGACTACACAAACATGATGTTAGTTATCACTAAGTGATCGGCTAATATAAGCATTTAAGTATAACAGGTCAGTTGTAATTTATGTAATTTAGTATTAACGCCTTTGAATATGAAACTGAATCATTCAGGCTTGAAGACGGCGCGGAGAATCAAAGCAGGTAAACTTTAGGAACTGTTGGGATATTCAGGAAAATATCCCAGAAATTATTCTATTAAGTCTAATGCTATTCTTGGACTTGGAGATGGTATTATTTACTTATTAGTCAGTACTTATTTCACGTGTCATTTTCCTACTGGTTAATATTGTACAATGTTATTTTCTATTTTATCGTACGATGTTGTCTGCTTGACTGGTATATAAACAAAGTATGTTTGAAATATAAGGATCCATAACTCAGAGGCTGTGACTTGTGTTCTGGACTCAACTGACTGGGCTAGACAGGGAAGTGGGGCCAATCAGAACCCTAGGTCGTTCTACGTGTTTGTGCGTCTTTGGTCCGATCAATAATTCGCTACCCCTTAATCAGCAGTATTTTTCACGTTATAACAGGAACAAACATGAAACCTAGATTCAGAGCCTTCGATTAACTACTTACAACCATGTGGTATCAAAAAGGAATGGCTTTGAAGCGAAAAAAAAGGTTCAAATAGGTAGGATGATAATATCTATAAATAGAACAGTATAAGGTTAAAGCTATCAACATACGTTTATCTGCTGTAATTTCTAACAATCCAATAAGTCAGAAAGATTATAATGCTTTAAATGACTCGGATGAATATTAACTTTATACAGAAATAATACATATTTGGCTAATCACTTTTAGTAAAACTGTTCTCATTCAGGTGTTTTATTAGTTTCATTTGTTTGGTATTAAACACATTGACACAGTGCCAAGCCGTTTTAAGTGTTAAATAGGTCACTTTATTTTCACATAACCGGTTGAGAGTATTCTCAATACATAGAATAAAAGCTGTTGCTTCAACATCCCTACTTAGAGTTGAGAATGATCTAACCGCGTGAACCAAGTGTGTAATTCAGTAACACAACACATGTTTTCTTTGATGTTGATGTGTATAATAACTGACTAAACAGTGAAATGAACTTAAAACCTCCAAGTATTTGACGTATTCTTTTCGTAAAAACATACATATTTGTTTTAAATCCGCTTTTTATATATCCACAGAATAAAAATTCAAGCATAAAGTAACTTTTGTGAGAGCTAGAAAAATCTGTCGTTTGAAATCATTTGCGCGAAGGTGCATATGAGGCTTGGTAATAATCGTTAATAAAGAAGAAACAGTCGAGACAGAATATAGTACACCATGAATAACATATTGTAAACAAGAATTCACAATGTTATCCAACAGTTAACAATGTTACTCATCTACATGTACTAAAATAAGTAAAGTTAAAATTGAATCTTCAGATGTAACAATCAAAAATTTATCAAGTATATTATACTAATCACGTTATATTGTTACATCAAGAAAAAATAAGTTTTCATTGAACGACTAGGAAAAATGTACTGTGCAACTTTCATTCGTTGCATGAGGTGGATAACTGTTCCACACACGACATTGTTGAACTTCACTAGTCATGGCCTCTTACTAGAACTCTAGGAATTTCATCTTGAACTTAGTCATTAGCTAGGCAATAGATGAGGGTTGTGTACTAACGTGAATTGACTGAAGTTAGACTTCCATATCATTGATTCCTGGCTCATTAGTCTAAGGGTTAAGAGTATGCGCACAAGACCAATGGTCCTAGGTTCGATCCCCGGATGCAAGGTCGTGGGTACGCACTGCCGAGTAGTCCCAGACTAGGACGAAACGGCCATCCAGGTTAGGGTTGTCTAACTAGAAGCAGTTCGTGATTTGAACTATGAAAATTCTACGATCTACACAAATCCGCCGATATTAATATAAAAAAATGTTTATCAAAGTATGCCAGTGATAACAAACCCGTTTGTTTTCTAAGAAGATTTTGTTCAAAGAAGCATAAGCATCTGTAAGATCTTCCAATTTATCTTTGAGCAAATCAACTTCATACCTTGATAAAGTAGGAAGCAAAAAGAAAACAGATCGTTTATTAAGACAGTTGGAAAAAAACGTGGGCAGATTCTAGGTGTGTATTACGTCTAACCATGTCTACCAGTTCTCTATACTAGCGTATTTATATTATTTTACCAACAAATAACCAACTGCAATTTAATGATTCTTTAAAATTCTTTCACAATTAGTCTTTTTATATCGATCTACTTTTATAATATAGACCCATTTTTGCATTGTGTATGTTGGGACCAATGAGTGAACAATGATGAAGTTTGGTATACGTTACTAAGTAAAGACGACAAGTCGGTTAGTGAGACAATTAATCTTTATCAACTGAGGTGGTTGAGATGTCAATTACGTATGTCCAAATACCACCTACCTCGACGCACGAAGATGCATGGTGTAATAGATTGGACGGAAGATAGGGAAGGCTAAACAAAATGTAGCATCAGCCCACTAAGTCACTGACTATTACAACGAGCCATGTAGATAGGTGCAGATTACCTGGTTGGGATTCGTAAGACTATCGTAACCATTGGTTGAACTTTGAATATGCTTCAGAATTGTTCGCAATGACACGGGTGCATTAACCCTTTAACTTCCCTAAGTTTCTAAACCCTGGAATCACCATACATCTTTTGTATTCCTCTATGTGCCTAATATTTTCTGCTACTTTTTTTACCGATCTATGATTTGTCTTGATAATTTTATTTCGTTGAGCTAATATGATGTAGCAGCTTGAACAGACGCACTGTTTCACATCGCATGTGACTATGACGGATCCAGTAGGATTCGAAACCGCGTCACCTAGTTTCATAGTGAGACGTTGTCGTCGAGCAGCGACCGACCTGTTAAGCCCCTAAACGCCCTGGTACGGCCGAGAGTAGGAAGAGTCAGCCCTCCCTCTCGAAATGCTCTCAAATGGCCATGTACATACAAACACTGCCAGGGAAGTCCTACTCACTGCCTTCTCGCGGATTTACTGTTGTTTACGAAATTGAGATGAAGAAAAGAAAATTTCCGGTATTTTAACCGGGTTGGTGGACACAAAGAGTTCACCTAGGAGAATTGGAAAACTCTGATTTCAAACCAATGGTACACACGAACTCCAGTATCCCGAAGGAATAAATGGCGTGTGAACCTATTGTTGGTCACCGGCTACCATTGAACTGCATCTCCTGACGTTGCTGCACTGCCTTGTGGATCAGACCTTTAGGTCGAAGGCTCCAGATGTGGCCTCCTGAGAAAACCACCTGCTTCAGTCTGGGCACCCGGGTAGTAACCCAGCACACACAAATTGAATGATTTGTGGCGTATATTTATTTGGTGGCTCCTTGTACCAACGTTTATGTGCTTAAATAAATGAATAAAAGATTTAGGATGTTTACAACTAATCAACCACTGAGTAGTGAAAATGTCATGTTTGTCTGCTCCATTAAGTCCTTATCAAATTATATCGATCAAATTGTAATGTAGCCACTACTCTAAATGTTAGATCACGTTAATTCAATTAGCCACCATGATGAATCAGTAAAATTAGCCCCACAGATATTTGAGTAGCTGATGGTAGATTTACTTGAACAAGCATTCATACGAACTGCATTGAAACTAAGGATCGAAAACAGCTGTCAACCAAATTTCAAACAGAAGTCCCATGTGTGCTGTTCTCCAGAACCGAAGACCACGACACAAGATTACCGTTTGCAGCAGTGGAAGACAGGCCTTATTAAATACTGCATAACCTTTTACAAAAGGTTAGACGAACAACTATAGTGGTTGCAATGAGCGATTTTAATACGTGAGTAGGAAATACATTAAGATATAGATATTAAGAACTGTAGATGATTGGAATATGTGGAAGCTGGATATATGACCAGACGCACATTTGGGTGCATCTGTATCAGAATTAGTAAACATAACATACCTAAAGCTCCCCATTCTTAATTTGTCAATATGTACTTAAAGATGAAGTAATTGAGTAATGAATGGAGCACACAAGTCATATTCATACTAATTTAGCCTGAAGACACATACTGTGGTATGAAGAAAGGAAATCTACAAGTGGGTAATAAAAGCAGTTGACCTCTGAAGTATCACCTAGGTTAGTTAATGTACAGAGACTCGTTCGAGTTAATTTCGAATACAATAAGAAAAACTAACTGGGGCTAAAACCAACTTTGGGCTTTCATAACAAGTGAGAGGAGCAGAATTTTGAAAAACTGGGAGGCTTTTAAACAATTTCGAAAATAAGTAACATAACGAATTTCCGCAAACTCATCAAACAAGCCTAGCAGAAGGAATTTGTTAGCGAGACTATCGTTGATGAACGTGTTACCGGTTCACCCTTGAGCTATTATGGTATGGTAAAGATACACATAGGTATTTCAGGCAAAATCAGATCAACCGAAAGGATCGCGCACAAGTGTTTATATATTAAATAACAATTATTGTTTAAATAGTACACTCGTTTTTTGTCAAAATAAACAGTCACCAAGTATTCAACATCTAGGTATTAGTAATACACTCAACTAAGCAACACCATATTGCTTAGAGATCACATTAAAACACATTCACAATGAACCAGATATAGGCACCTCATTAGCCACAAATCGATGGGAGAGCACATTTTAAATTTCATTGATACCCTCTAACACTAAAACATAACCGAGGAAAGTTGTGCATCAACCGATATATATGAATTCGACAGAGTGGATAAATATCAAAAGTGTTGGAAGGTCCTGGAAGCAATCAATTCATAAATTACTATCTTAAACGGTAATAATTAGAATAGTTTACATTGTAAGTACCTACTTCAAAAGTTGTTTATCATTGTCTAGTTGAACATTTGACAACATTGCCCCCTTAACCTTTTCTTCCAACTGCAGTAACTGGGCTCGTAGCTCACGTGCATCCAAATTCCTTGAGCTGATTGATGATGCTAAATCGGCCGAAGAACGCTGACTACTCAGGCGTGAAGTGCTTCCATTATTAATCTACGTGCATGATAAACAGTAAATATGGTTTTTTAAGACCCGCTTTGATTAATGAGTAATCGGTACATTTGCACCATGAAACAAAAGAATAACTAACTAATAGGCAAGACTAAGAAAGCTCATATCACCAAACGTTTCAACACACAATATAATGAGGGAAACAAAGACAACCTTTCATCCCCTTTTTAATCAAAACAGGTTCGGCTCAACACAACCTTAAATTGATTCCTGAATGGTTTGTTGTTAGTTTCTTAATGAAATATGATTACAAACACATAAACATGAAAAATGCATACATGGGAAATGAAAGTTGGAAGTTTCAAACCAATAATAAGCAATATAGTATGGAAGTACGTTGGTACAAGGTGAATAGAACAATACATAACATCAGCTCATGAAGTCATGAACTGCTGGTGGTAGCCGTACAAGAAACTAGAAAACTACCGATCAGGAGATATTCGTAACTAGTGGGTGGAGACTAGGTGCTATAGATTGAATCCTAATACAGAAAATTAAAATATGTACGAATGTAACTAATTGTAAAAGCAATAGAAAGGACTTACTTTAATGATAACGTCAGGACGCTCACTACTACTGTCATCCTTACTTTCCTCCTTAAAATGAATTTATCAAACTGGAATATACAAGACATACTTCGCGTCTCATTTTTTCAAGCTCCTTGTGCTTAATTATTCTACCTTCTTCAATAAGCTGTTGATTGGCAGCACGCTGTATTTCAGTCTATATAAGGATAAGCAAGCAACTCGGAATAATAGATACCTCCTGTGCTGCCCGTCCCATATCTGAAATATCCGTGTAGGGAACATGCCGCGAAGCCATAATTCATCTGTAGATCTAAGTAGAAAGAAACGGGAACTTTTTTGTCAATGAGATACCGCTTAATAAGCTTAAAGAAATTATAATTAAACGAAGTCTTGTGCAAAAATGCACCATATTTAAAGTACAAATAATCAGTTTTACAAAGCTTTTAGTTTTCGGGAGTAAATTGCTCTAAATTATAGAATGTAGTGATATCAAAGAAACTTTATTACATAAATTGAAAAATAGACAGTAATTGATGTTTGCAACTTGAAGTATAAAAATTATTGAAGTTGCTCAGTTGTAGTTATGGTGGTAAGAGTATTAATTTTTACATGTACTTCATTGGGGTTGGTTCAACTGTCTTGCTTTTGACTTTTTTACCATGACGTACATTCATAGTCGACAGCAGAGTTCAAAATAGCAATCATAGACGACCCTAAACCTAGCACGGATATGTAGCGATTTAAGCTACTATTCTGTACATCAGCACAGCAAGAAAAAACTAGTAAGATAAAAGCAAGGGGGTGAGAATATTAATCGCAGTCTGAAATGGGAAATGTAGGTCACATGAAACGGGTGAGATTGAAGTTTAGAAAAAGGAATGGCATTAAGATAATGCAATCGATTTCGAGACGTGTCATCCGACATTTCTAACTATTGCTTACTTTTTCTAACACCAGATGATTCTAGCCAACGTTGGTCTTGTCACGAATATGTCTTTTTCCAACGTTTCCACGTCAAGTAAAACCCGGATAAATGCATCCTCGCACTACGACGTGACTATTCCAAACACCCGTTTCAACGGGGTCTTTCACCAGTCTCTCCAACGACGAGTGATGATACGGTCTACTTGTGTCCACGTCACCGTAGCAGCTACGGTCAGATTACTGAAAGTGGGGGATTGGTGGTCTTAGCATCGAAAGGCATTCTATCTCTTCAAGTCTAAGAAAAAAACTATATTTGGTGTTTCCAACTCAGGAGCAGGACCGAAAAATCCGATAGACATTCCATACAGCGTGACGTGTTACACCCAGTGACCAAACCGACCCCCATGAAAAGCACCTTGTATATCGGGTTTGGTTTGGCTGTGGAAATTTCCCTAGTTGATACCCTAAACAAATCTCGATAGCGAACTTAGAGCTGAGTTCGGAAACATGAATTCAAGAATAAAGTAACTTCTACGTGGGTCTCATTGAGGCAAACATGAGCATAAACACCGTTTTCTTGCAGATTCTGGTTCATATACAATTACCGTGCATGTGCGCTAGCTTTATTATCGGAAATAGAAAGCGACAAAAGAAACAAACGTAAAAGAAACAACAAACCTACAGGTCACAAACCTTGTTTGAAAACAGTAACTGGGTTGGTCTACCAGTTTAAAGTTCAAGCTGCAAGGTCATTGTATAGATTTACTAGATATACGCTGATACGACATAAAATTGGGGAAGAACTAGACATGACTTACGAAGCGATTTATTTTGTTGATGGTAGCGTAAAGGAGGGAGAGTAGCTCTATTCATTAGGAATGCTATCTCATTTGCCATTATCGACAGTGTATCCCATGAGAGTGGGACGTGTGAATTAGTTAGTCTCCGCTTGAAATGCAAGGGACAAGAGCTGCTGATTGGTTTGGTCTATCGCAGTCCATGCTGTGAGGTAAATGAAGTCCTGCTGAGCAGTCTCAATACTTGTTCACAAAGTGGTCGATGTCTAATCCTAGGGGACTTTAATGCACCTATGGTAGACTGGGAAAATCTGCGAACTAAATCGTCGGAGAATTCCTTCGAGCAGGAACTAGTTGATGCGGTTATCATATGTGCTCTAGTACAACATGTGAAAGAAGCGACTAGGTACGACCCGGACACTGAATCATCCTTACTAGATCTGATACTCACTCACTATGTGGATGACGTTGCGAACCTTCATTATATGCGACCCCCAGGTAAAAGCGATCACGCAGTTTTAATTTTCGACTTCCATATAACTGTCAGTCACGAGCACGGGTCAACCCAATCCAGACCTAACGTCTAGAAAGCAAATATACCAGATATCATGCACTCAGCATCGTTAGTAGATTGGACAATAGACCCAGAGTCCTCAGTTGAAACGGCCTAGGACGCATTTCGAAATTCATACTTAAAAGTTACCACACCCCGCATCCCTTGGACTATACCAAGGGGACCGAGAAACTCACCAACATGGTTCAGTAGGGAGGTCCGCATACTTCTCCGTAAGAGAAGAAAAATGTGGGATAGGTTTAGGTTACTGGGGACTGACGAAACTAAATACCAGTATAGAAAAGTCCGGAATACCTGTGCCTCGACCCTCCGTAAGTCTAGAAAGTTGTACGAAGAAAACATTATTAAGGAATCCATAGAATTTCCTAAACGTTTGATTCTTATATAAACCAAAGGACAAAGAGAAGAGGAAATATTCCTGCTCAAAGGGGAGACAGTACTGCCGCGTCACTAGTGGAGGACGACTTTGGTAAGGCTCAAATGTTCTCAAACTACTTTAGCAATGTATACACCATAGAAGCACCCTTCCCATCAGCGCATACAGATCCCCTCACACATACACTGGATAGCGTGACCATTAAAGAACTCGATGTCTTTGGACTACTAAATAAGCTTGACATAGGCAAATCCACGGGGCCCGATGAATTACATCCTAGGCTACTGAAGGAATTGTCTAACTTCGTTGAGAACCCTTTAAGTATATCCTTTAACCTATCCGTAACGCAGGGTCGTTTACCCAAATACTGGAAAAACTCCATAGTAAGTCCTGTCTTCAAAACAGGTACGAAACACAAACCTGAGAACTACCGCCCCGTTAGCCTAACTAGTGTGGTTGTTAAAATCTTAGAAAAGATTATTCGGAAGGACCTGTTTAAGTATCTTGATAAAAACCGGGTCCTCTTGAAGAAGCAGCACGGTTTCAGCATAGGTTACTCTTGTCTCACTAACTTATTAGTGGCTCGTGAATGCTGGTGCGCTCTTATGGACCAAAAGTTACCTGTAGACGTCGCCTTCATTGATTTCATCAAAGCTTTTGACAAGGTTCCGCACAACCGGCTCTTATATAAGTTAAGAAATGTCGGGATTGGAGGCAATTTATTGATGTGGATAAAAGACTTCTTAGTTGGGCGTCAACAAAGAGTAAGGGTGAACTCAAAGTTATCTAGCTGGGAAACTGTGCTTAGTGGAGTGCCCTAGGGCACAGTTTTGGGGCCAGTGCTATTCCTCTTGTATGTAAATGACCTTCCTCGTCTCTTATCGTCATCGGTCTTGCTATATGCTGACGATGTCAAGATATGGAGAACTCCAAAATGACCTGAAGAAATTATCTGAATGGTCTCAAACATGGCAGTTGCCGATAAATACTTTCCAAGTGTGTTGTGATGCATATCGGTCATCAAGGTACAGATACATACACGATAAATAACACTCAGCTACCTGTCGTCCAGACATGTAATGACTTAGGAGTCATCGTTAGCCAAGACTTAAAGACTACTACACACTGCCGTGCAATATCCGCCAAAGGTTTTAGAACCTTATGGTCAATACGTAGGGCTTTTAGTCATGTCGACGCTAAAACGCTTTTGACTTTATATACTGTGTTCGTACGTCCTAAACTTGAGTACTGCATACAAGCGGCTAGCCCCTGCTTAAAAAAAGAAAATGAGCTTCTGGAAAAGGTTCAGAGAACAACAACTAAGCTGATTCCCGGAATAGCGAAGCTTCTGTATGAAGTTCGATTGGCCAAGCTGAACCTTTTCCTGTTGTCATATCGCAGAACTAGAGGCGACTTGATTACAGTCTACAAACTGCTTAGTGCCAAATTTGCACCTAATATGCCCTCATTTTTCTTGTCTTCCAAAACAGAGAATTTACGAAGACACTCCAAAAAATTTCAGAAGCCAAGAACAAATTATTGTCAGCTGACTATCGACTTTCCCATCGAATCATCAACGAGTGGAACTCATTACCTCAGCACGTGGTTGAGGCTCCATCCGTCGATTCTTTCAAAAGAAAGTTGGATCAACTTAGGGACCACCATTGCCAGGATTAACACAGGCCATCGGGCCTCTTGTCCTTACCAAACTGAAACTGATCATAGAAGCACTGAGCATGAGAAGCAGAAACCCTTAATGAGCCCAAACGAAATAGACTGGATAATTTGTATAACAACTAAATGGCAAAGTGAACATAGACTTCAGGCTGCTTAACCACTCCACGAGTTGTGCACGTAGGGTTTGTGAATAGGTTGGTATCATGTTCTGGCTTCGATAGAACAGGAAGTTTAGCTAACTTGTTTGTTAGGACGTTTTCCTATTCTTCCTGGTTGTCTAAACCGGTGTGTTTCGATTTATTTGTAAAGAAAATATTTTTCTTATCACTCTTCTCAATGATGAAATATATTCTCGTTTTTTCTATGATGCGATATAGTCCCTCATATGGTGTTTAAAGTGATTTAATAACAGCATCTGAGTAGATAAAATGATTTTCCATATCACTAAGTGTTTATTTAGCTGTTCATGGAAAGTAGGTGCACCCATGGGGACTGACTTAAGCTCTTGCGTGGCCTGTAACACTTGTTTGAGCCGTTCGAAGGCTACCGTTGTATTTGACTAACCATCCCGATGAGACTAGAAACGTGCTGTAATCTAGTTCTGCTGTCGTACACTCTTTGATCATCGATTCTATTTCAAGCAGGTTAGGCTGGATGTCGTTTCTTATGGTTTAGTTAGCCTATGACATAAGCAGGCTATTCAGTTGGCAATGAGACCGTTGAAAATTTTGTGATTACCTGTCTGGTTATCCCGTCGCCTTCCCCTTTCAGTAATGCTCGCTTAAAAGTATCGGCAAAACGTTCTGCTTGTCCATTCGACTGGGCATGATAGAGTGGAAAACATAGATGTGTTACTCCGTTTATCCTACAAAAATGCTTGAATGATTGTGCAGGGAATTGTGAACCGTTGTCAGTCACTAAAGTCTCTAGGACTCCAAAATATCCGTAAAAAGTAGACAGTTTGTGGTTTGTTTTTGATGCTGTACAGTTAGGCATACTATATATTCTGGCCACTTCCTAAATACATCCACAATAATCAGAAACATTTTATCTTGTTCCTATATTTATGCATGATTTTCCTGATTGGTTGATAAATTGGATTGATTTCAATATGTTTGTTGATTGCTGATTGACCTAAGTGTCAGGTTTCTAAAAATTCTCTGGTGTTTTTGGAGTTTCGTCTATCTAAGATTTCTACATTTTTCCGATCAAATGAGTGTCCGTAGTTATCCACGTGTATTGATATAAGTGAAGAGATATCATGGCGTTTGACTGCTAATTGATGTTCATGTAGGCGAAGGTGGAGGGGGCGTCCGCTTTGTCCGATGTAGTGTTTGTCGCAGTTTGTACAATTTATTTTGTAGATGATCTTTGATTTGTTTTCCTTTGTTATTTCATGCTTTGGTTTGCATAGGATTGATTGTAGTGATTTTGTCGGTGCACAAAACAAGCTGTGAAACACATTTGGAGAAATTCGAACACTTAACGTCTATCTGAAGTTTGTGCTGATGATGTCGTTCAGAAAAACGATGAAAGCCCCACGATCAAACCATCCAGCTCAGAGAACAAAACTTCACCGAAATCATCCACCTGAGCTACAAATCTTTTCCACCATCTCACATCCTGAAAATAGATATTACCGTCCCTTGTGAGCTTCACGAACATTTCTGCATGCCTTTCGTGTCAATAAACGAAGTACAAAATTTCCAGTCTTTCGTTAAATATGTATTATTTGCTCTTGGCTGTATTCATCCATGCAGTAGACTCTCTGAATCCTAGCGCGGAAGCCTAAACACCTTCTATTCAAATCACTTAAGTTATGAATCATTACTGTGAACATTCAGAGGCACCTAACTTGAAGATATTCTCTGCCGTCTTTGAGGCGTAAAATCGTCCTTTGGGGGGGGACGTAGGCTTCCGCAGATTATGCATATCAAATCACACACCTCTCATGAGACTATGTCCAGTCGATGATAAATACACGCGTCGATTTTTGTAATACCTGTGACAGTGTCTCACACAATCTTCCAAAAAAGCTTTTTATTTGGTATACGAGGTCCCGTTCTACGCTGGTGTAGATATTTTCATGAATTTCCATGTTACGACGGTCTTTGCTACGGAAACAAAACACTGAAAATTCCTCCACTGCATTTGTTGGACAATACTGTCATCCATTTGTTTCCTCTTCTTCTTTTTTAACCTTTATTCAGATCTCTTTTAGCCACACTTTGTGTCCTCCAGTCTTCCTCGTGTAAGCTTTTATTATGTGACTTTGGTTAAAGATTGAACTTTTGTTACTTAATTTTGCCGTTACATGTCGGACTTTTGACATGG